GAAAGAGAAGAATTTGATGGTAATGCGTGAGTAAATAATGACCACTTGCATTTTATATTTAATTTAAATTTCCTGGAAATTTTGAAAATTCTTCCAATGTTATCAATTGTTGCAAGAGACTGTCATGTGAAAGATGCAATCATGACGTTTGGGGGATGTCTATGATAATTCAGCATTGGATTTATTTATGTTACATATATATTTTCTATTGGCTCATTTATCATGTGTTTTGCAGTCTAGACTTAATTTTGAAAGACAAGTGTTTGCAGTATAGACTGTGCCCTGCAAGACTTATCAATTAATGTAGACTGTGATAATGTAGAATGTGTTTTTTTCATGAGCTGGCCTCTCATGTGTGCCTGAAACTGAAAGAACATGCCTGGTTTACAAAAATGAGATAAAAATGCTTACCTGCTTAATTTCCTGCCAAAAACTTGCATTAACATGAATAATTCATGTACTAGTCTGAATGTGAACATGAATTCATATTCCAGGAGCTTCTTAATTGTTGGGACCTCCAACACTTCCATGGTGCAACAGTCTGGTATCGCCAATAAAGATTTTAAACAATCTACTGCACCGCATCCACAAGACCATTCCAATACAGGGAACTTCGAAGACAAATTACATCTTCACGATCTTTCTACCTCCAAGACTCATTTGGAACATGGTAGTATTAACTCTATCAATCCGGTCCATCTAAAGCTCACTGTGGGCAAGAAAGCATGTCCAGTGGAAGACAAACTATTCTGACTGCACATCAAAGAATTCTTGTCAGTATTCGTACGAGGCAGTAACTTATTTTAAAACGTAAGTAACTTTATGAACTAGTAAATTTTTTTTTGTGAACACCTTCAAGTCACACATGAAAGATTTGCTGCAGGAAAGTACAGTATAATTAGTTGAATTTGTTTAAGACGAATTTTCTGTTCATTGCAGTGATATGCAGAACACTTTATTAAATATTTTTGTTTACTTTATTCTGGTGTAACCAGAATTGGCAACTCTTCTGCCTCCTATGTAGGGTCCGCCATATTTATGGCTAGGTATGTTTTTCTTATTTCTCAATGAAACAAACAGGTGAATTATTTTTTATTAGAAGAGCTAATAGCCAAGAACTACCCAAAAAATTCTCAAACATTTATTCTTATGACCACCCTAATTTTTTTATGACGCCTACCACCTAGGCTGGAAAGCTTCACAGGAGACTCGGAGCATTTCTTGAGGAATCAAGTCCCATTCTCGTTCCAATTTAGACTTCAAACTATCCAAAGAATCATGAGGTGTTCTGCAGACCCTACTCTTTAAAATAGCCCACACAGAAAAATCGAGAGGATCAGGGCTTCTTGAGGGCCATTCATTTCTGCTAGTGAACGCTGGTATGTGACCTTGAATCCAGTTCTGGGTCATGTTTGAACCGTGTGATGTGAATATTTCCTTGCTGCTTAAGTGACATACTTGTTCCAACGTGCAGGTATCCCACTCCGTGGCAGTACAAGTCTTACAGGCCTAAAATCAGGGTTGCAGCAGGTTTCTGTTTACTCCGTTTACTCACATGGGACAAGTATTTGAAATGAAAAAGTTTCGTTAAAAATTCCTAGCTTGCCGACAGAGACTATAATATTATCAGGAGAAGCATATATTTTTGTGCCCTAAGGATTTTCTGTAAATTATCAAAAATTTTACAGGACGGTGGAAGCTTTCGTAACTTGTATCATGTATTGACTGCTTTCTTCAAGGTATCGTGTATTTACCTAGATATGTTGTTCTCATAACAATTAATAATGCTGATTCCCTACATCCTAATGTATTTTTTTTTACTTTTAGACCAATTTTTTTATTATAATTTTCGCATCTTCGGTTATCTTGCCTAGCATTACTTCAGTACCTTGACAGCCGATAATTAAGACATTCATCGACCATTCAAACATATTTTGAATAATAATTGGGATTTTTTATACTATTTGGATGCTATTTGGCTTCAATGATGTGGCTGAAACGTATTTTAAATTAAACCATAAATTATCAGAAGAGCTAGCGGGATGGTTAAGCAAATAAAAAATCCCATGTGTTTTGCAGCCTTCCCCACAATAATGCTCACTGCTAATTCATCTTTCACCATTGAAAATTCATTGCTCGATTTTTTTTCAACAGAATATGACTTGAACGAGGTGGCTATATATGTCCTTGCTCCCTAAACTGATGAGGGAGCCACTTCAATCTTGCCCTGCCGGTAAGAATCCTTGACAAATAAATGTTGGTGCTTTAAAGGGGTTTAACTTACTATTTCCGACTTGTGAAGAGTTACCTTTTCTCGATTATGAAGTGCTGTTTATACTTAGAGCATTGTAGAATGTCCATTAATACATTGTACTAAATACGCTTGTCAGAAAAAGATTTTATCATATTTATTTTTTGTGCAGGAATGTGCATGGGAAGGAGCCAATGCTGATTCTTGATGTAGTCGATTGAGTGGTCACAAGGTAAGTCATAGCAGAAGACATGGTACTGTGTGAGATATGTAGCTACAGTCAGGGGTTATGTGTTCTCTTTGCTTCCTGCTATGCGTTCAATACGCATTTCAACAAAATACATTCAAAATACATTAAATTTTATTTTAAAAGTTTTGATTGGGTTGGATGGAAAAAAGCTATCTCCTTTCATTTAGGCAATTCTAAAAAAATTGAATGAAAAGTGTAACTAGCTTCAAGTGACCCGAGACTAATGCCAAACACCGCCACCAACACATTGTCTCAATTGTTCGTGACGACAGTGTTTTAGTGACGATAATTCATTACTTGCCGACGTAGTTGTGTTCTTTGCGGCCTAATATTCCTGCATGATTAATTGTTTGTCTTATTCTATGTTTGTCTTATTTTATGTTCTTCTAATGTTATGTTTGTCTTATGTTATATTTGTCTTATGTAATGTTTGTCTTATGTTATGATTGTCTTATTATATGTTTGTCTTATATTTTGTTTGTCTTATTTCATGTTTGTCTTATGTTATGTTTGTCTTATTTTATGTTTGTCTTATTTCATGTTTGTCTTATGTTATGTTTGTCTTATTTTATGTTTGTCTTATTTTATGGTTGTCTTATTTTATGTTTGTCTTTTGTTATGTTGGTCTTATTTTATGTTCGTCTTATTGTATGCTTGTCTTATGTTATGTTTGTCTTATTTTATGTTTGTCTCATTTTGTGTTTGTCTTATTTTATGTTCGTCTTATTTTATGTTTATCTTATTTTATGTTCGTATTATTTTATGTTCGTCTTATTGTATGCTTGTCTTATGTTATGTTTGTCTTATTTTATGTTTATCTTATTTTATGTTTGCCTTATTTTATGTTAGTCTTACTCCATGTTTGTGTTTGTCTTATTTGTCTTTTGAGTCTTATTTTGTCTTATTTGCTAGCAGCGTCATCGTTTGTTGAATAGTGGACGCAATTCTCATAATGAAGTATTTGTTTGATGAATAGCGGACGCAATTCTTATAATGAAGTATTTGCTTGATGAATAGCGGACGCAATTCTTATAATGAAGTATTTGCTTGATGAATAGTGGACGCAATTCTTATAGTGAAGTATTTGTTTGATGAATAGTGGACGCAATTCTTATA